CAGAGGTTTTCATATTTCATTTCTTGATGGTTAACAAAATAATATTATCTTGAACAGTGTTTTAAAATACAATTTTTTTTATAAATAAAATTTTAGTTGTGTATTTTAGCATATATATTTTATGTGTATGTAGTTTTTTTTTTTAATACATGATTAAAGGTTTTTAAAAGTAAACTTAAAAATACTAAAACTTGTACCAAAATTTGATCTTTTAATTTGTTATTGAGTTATACATATAATCTTTTATTTAATAGAGTCCTCCAATTCCATTTGAAAGTAAGTTTTTTTAGAACCACGGGTTCAATAGACAGTATTTAGGAGAAGAGATCAATAACGTTCGAACTTCGGCAACGTATGTCTAGAATGAGTAGATCCCTTGTGCACATCGACATGGGTCATTGAATCACCGTGATTTACATTCTCCCAAATATTCTGTCGTCCGAAGTGTGAGAGCCTTTGGGATTGCAAATTCAACTTTTTAGGAGAAGTTTTTTAGGACATTTATGAGATTCGTTTTCGTATTAACATAGTTGCCCGCAACTCTCTTCAGGCATATATAACCACTAACAGGGCGTTTGGTTGGAGAGGGGGAATTGCGTGGGAAAGAAATTGCAATTCCATGGGAGATGAATTACTCGGAATAAAGTGGGAATTTAAATTACAATGTTTGGTTTACAATAATAGAATTACTGAGAATTTCAATTCCAATGTTTGGTATACATCGAAATTGAAAGGGAATAAGTAGTATAAATTCAAAAATGTCCATTGTTGCTGTTAGACATTAATTTTAGATTAAAAAAGAAGGGGTAATTTTGACATATCACTATCTTTTTTTCTTCCTAAAATCCCAGGAATTAAAATCACAGTGGGGGACATGGGATTTCAGTTCCATGAAAATGGGGGAATTACAATTCTTTTCAACCAAACAAGGGAATTTTGTGGCCTTTGGAATTAGGTGAGAATTAAATGGGAAGGAAATTTAAATTCCCTTCAACCAAACGCCTTGTAAGATTTAGACTTAGGATTTCTGCTTACTATGTTGGTATATTTTTTTTTTTTTTTTTAAACTTGTATGTATATCATCAACAGAACAAGAGGCAAAGCCTTACAATGGTTCCTTGGCCCCAAAGTGACCAAGATACAAGTATGGCCCTTTGGCCTTACATGAAAGCCTAGCTAATAAGGCACCAAAACAGAGGCCATTCGGCCTTATGAAACCAACATGTACTAAAACCAAGTGGAGCTAAAACCAAGACTAGGAGACAAAGAAAGCACTTCATCCTTCAAGTCTTTCGGCCACCATATCAAAACCTTATCCTTCCATAATGCAATCTTGTAAGTAAGCCCCTCCCCTTCATACCATTCATCCACGAGCCTTTTTGCTAGGCTTGCAAGCCTAAGCACTCGGCTCCCGGTCTCTTCGAAGATGCCATTGGTCCTTCCACCCGACCCCCATGTTTTCAAGAAATTCCACATATGCCATAACCTGCTTCACCCCAAATGAACTCCGAGCCCCCACCCCAAGAGCGCAAGGTCAACCCTCCCGCATAGAGCTCTATGTTTTAACCGGGAAGGCCACTTATGCCCCCACCCAAGGCAATGGGACCCATTGTAACACCCCGTGTTACGGCCTTCAATCCCGGATTAATTATTAAATTAATCCCGTTAATAATAATTAAATATGATTTAATTCGGTTAGGTTTCCTTTAATTAATTAATAAAGGTCCACCATGAACCGTGGACCCTTGCCTAAAGTAGAGTCCTAAGCCTATTAGGAATAAAGAAAGTAAACCTTTTACTATTCAGATTCTAATTAGGAATCCTAGACCTAGTTATCTATTAGGAATAAAGGAAGTAGGCCTTTTACTATTCAGACTACGATTAGGATTCCCTTTAATTAATTAATATGGTCCACTATGGACCATGGACCCTTATCCCTAAACCCAATCTTTAGTTCCAAAAGGAATAGAATTAGCAAGCCTATAATATTAGTTCCTAACCAGGACTCCTAAATATATAAATAGGGGACTTAAGAGGCACCTAGAACCCCCCACCACAATAAACGTTCCACCACCCCAAAGTGCTCCAAGAATCCCCTTAGAAGAAATCAAGAAAGCAAGAAAGCTTAAAGAAAGACCCTTCATAGCCAAGGAATTAATTAAGGCTAAGAGGTAACCCATGTCTCAACAAAACCTATTTTCATAGCTATGATTTCCCCCGTAGGATTTCCCCGTATTATTGTGTATTGGTGACTTGTGATATTATTATTGATGATTGATGGGATAATTCCCTGGGTGATCTTGATATTGGGAGATTCTTGATAATTATGGCGTTCTTGATGATTATGTGGAGTTCTTGATGATTATATGTCGTTCTTGATTATTGTATGGCATTCTTAATGCTTATGTGTTATTCTTACCGAATCTTGCAATTAGAAGACGAACCGTATACTTGTTGACATAAAAGTGATTAGAACCCTAGGTTGTATCGTATGATCTTATTCTTGGATTATCGGGTGGGGAAATCACATGTTTGGGTGTTGATTATATTTAGAAAAGCATGATAGGTTATGTGCCGTCCGTTTCTTGTATTTGATTCGTTAATTGTCTACGTGTTGTCATTAATTGCGTTGTAAAGTGTCTAAGCATGGTTTCGGGTTCCACAACGGTTCCCGGGGCGTAAAGTGTGTGAAAAGAGTCAGTGGGGGGTAGGTGGGGGGTAGGGGACCCGCCACCTACCCATGGCCGTGAAACACCGCCCGGCAGCGGGTGGTCGGCGGGCGGGCAACTGCCCGCCGGCGACCCGCTGCCCGGAACAGTATTCTCCGGCGGGCAGCCGGCGGGTGGCCCCCACCCACCGGCTACCCGCTGGAAATTCATCCCACCCGGGATCCCGGCTTCCCCGTTTGATGTTCCCCGTTCCCCGTGGTGTCCCAACGGACTCCGTTTATCGTGCCTATGTCTAGTTTGATGTTTCGGGTACCGTTCGTAGGTTTATGAGTCTATTATATTGCATGCTAGTTGAATTGGTATCCCGTTGACCTAGGTGGAAGAAGTATGAAACCCTTAGGACTATTCTTAGTAAGTGATGGATCACGCATAGGTTTTGTTATACGTTTTCTCCCCCTTCCTAATGTGTAATGTGGGTTGCATGTGCTTGTTATGTGTTATGTGTGTGTTACCCCAATTCGGTTGCGATCGGATTGGTTATCCTGAGCTGCGGTTCAGAAGCTGGCTGCGGTCAGATTGATACTCTTGGGCTGCGGTCCACCGTTTGGTTGCGATCAAACGTTTCTATACGAGCTGCGGTTCGTCCTTTTTCCTGGCTGCGGTCAGATGACATTCTCTTGGGCTGCGGTCCACTGTTTGGTTGCGATCAAACACTATGATGAGCTGCGGTTCATCAGTCGGTTGCGATCGACCCCTCCGTGTTGCGATATGGGGCAGGGTGCTGCGGGGCCGTGTCAGAGCTATATGCGCTGACCCTCATGTATGGGCATGCGATTGGTCCTGTGGCGCCAACAAAGTGTGCTATGTGTTGTGATATGGATGAGTGGTGATTATGAGTGTCTTGGGGGATGTGACTATGGGATTTATATTGGGGATTGTTCATGTTGGGTTATGATCATTGTTTATGCTTTGCCTGCCTTATCTGTTGTGAACTGCATATGCTCGTTATAACTGTTGCTTGTGTCTGACCTTATCTGTCGAGTCATTCCCGGTTTTAAAGCTAGAGTTCGTAGGATATATCTCCATGCTCAAAATGGTTTTCGTATATCTATATATATCTCTATATGTATTGTATTTCAACGCGTTGGAGTGGGTTACCAGCATCTCTCGCTGAACAGATATATTTGGCTTTCAGGCACAGAGGACTAGAGCACTGGAGCGCGCTAGAACTGGAGCGTAGAAGTAGAGTAGTTTCCCTTTCGGCCTGCGTGCCATATTATGCATTGTGTTTCAATGGTTATTAGTTAGACAGCCTGTACACCTGGGTTCTCTAGCCCAGGTGTGGCATAGCACCCCGTACACTTATGATATACCTTGGGATGTAATGAGATATTACCTTTATTATATAAGCTTAAAATGTCTTGAAAATCTGGGGTGTTACACCCATCCTTAACACAAGAGATGATACCCCTTGCTAATACAAGTATTTGCGCAAAGAGATCATTTTGCCTCTTGTGCCAGGCCATGGTAACCCGGAGCCACCTTCCCTAGGCTACAAGATGGTACTCCTTACTAGTACTCTTGGTACATGCATAAGGGGACCATTCGGCCTCATGACCTAGGCAAAAGTGGAGCTCCACCAAGCTATTCCATTTCTCCTTTCTTATATAGTCTCATGATCTCATTGTTATTTCTTTCTAACAAGTCTTTTTGAGCCTTTCTTTTTCACTTCTTTCCTTCATTTCCCATCTTTTCTTCTTCTTTTTTCCAGATTTCCCATGCCCCCATTCCGGGCTCACAAGTTATGGAACATGTGGAATTTCCGTTGAACATTCCTTCACCAACCCTTTGGACATAGCCCAAGACCCACCCTTAAACCATTGGGATGATCCTCCTTACTAATATCTGAGATACTTGCATAAGGGGAACCATTTACTCCCAAGGGTCAAGCAGCAGATTCCATGAGCTTAAGCCTGCAAGCCATGTAAATCATACATATCACACCACTCTCCCATAGGGAAGAAGCTTACTTACTAAGATGTTTTGCAAAAGGATAAAACCTTCATAATGACAGCTTCAAGCCTCCATAGATGTTGGTCTTCCTTGCCCCACAGCCAGGACACCCTCCTGCTGCCACCCTCAGAAACCTCTCAGCAAAGGCCCATCATCAGGTTTTGCAGCCTTTCAGCTTCAATCACCCCCTGGATCCCAGGTTCTTCTGCTATGTGAGACAGGCAGCAGATCCACTCCAGGCATCATACAAAATAAACCAACACCCTCAAGAATGCTTCTCAGCAAAAGCATCATCATCAGGTAATCCTCAGCGAAGCGCTATGCCAGATCTTGTCCAGGGAGAAGAGCAAAATGAGGCACTCCCTCAATAGCAAGCAGCTGCATGAAGCCCTGGGGAAGGCTTCCAACCTTCCAAAATACCAGACTCAAACCTTCCCACTTATTAGCAATCCAAACAGCCAAGCTGTTCACTCTTGAGCTACAGCTATTCCACCTCTCCAGGCCATCATCATGACCTGCATTGTCATACTTAAAACCAGGTTCATCCGTCTCAAATTCCAGTCTACACAATTTCTTTCTTCTACACCAAGCCCTCACATCTTTTACTATCTCCTTTTTTAAACTGCTTTGTGGCCCAAAGAGATCAGAAGAATAGATTCCAGCTAGGCAGAATTGTCCCTTCCCATTTCTGATAAAGAAGGAGTAGCTCTGTCCATTTTTACTCTCTGCAAGATTCACCTTCACCCATCCCATAGGAGGTTTGCACCAACTTTCCTTCACAATTTTTCTCTGCACACCAAACCCATCTACCCTTCTTAGAATTACATTCCAGTTAGGGGGAAAAGGGTCCCACATAGGCCACCTACTTGTTATGCATTCTGCCACAACCTTAGCCACTTTAAATTTGATCCTTGCTGCAGAGATATTCATGCCCCCATATTTGCACTGAGTGAAACTGACCCAAATTTCCCATATTATTATCATTGGGAGCCTTTGAACAATGAACCTCTCCAATCTATTCTTGACTTTTCTCCCCCACCAGCTATAACACACTTGCTCCAAGTACCTTATCTGCAGATTAATGCCCAAGGATTTTGCAAAGTAGCCCCAGACTTCTCTAGCTATTTCTCCTCTACAAAATACATGCTGCAAGGAGCTTAAAGTGGGACTTGAACAACAACTACACCTGGAAACCACATTGAAACCAAATCTAATCAGTACATCATCCATTGGGATTTTCCTCTTGAAGACTCTCCAAGACAAGAACGCCATTTTCCAAGGCACATGGTTTGCCCATATCTTCCTACTCCAGTGTTTATGACATGCTTTTTCACCCAATTGCTTTCTCTCAAATGCTTTTGCAGCAGCGAAGCTAAACTGTCCCTTAGTATCAGGTTTCCAAGTAGCAACATCTTGGACCCCATCCCTTATCCTCACTCTGGCAGTCAATCTTCTCACTCCTTCCCCCAACTCCCCCACTTCCCATCTTTCCCCTCTGAAGAATTCTCTCAAACTTTCTGTAGCTGTTCTCTTTCCCCCTATGTTCAGAACTGATGCTATAGCCCCCTCCCCTGACTAATTATCCCACCAAAAATTCACCAATCCTTCCCCAATTTTCCATTCAATCTCTCTTTCCACTCTATCCCTTGCCTCCACCATTCTCCTCCAAACATGTGAGTCCTTGTACTGCCAAACTTTACAGACTGGATTAGATCTTTTACAGTATTTTGCTTTCAAGTAGTCCCCCCACAAGGACTTTTCTGTTCTAAAATGCCACCACAACCTTGTTCCTGATGCAGCTATCATTTCCTTTAGGCTAGTAAATCCAACCCCTCCCCTATCTGTTGCTTTTGTCAATGATTCCCATGAGCTCCAATGATATTTCTGCTTGCCATCCACTTTGCCCCAGAAAAAGTCAGCAAAAATCCTCTCTATCTGTTTGATCACAGCCTTTGGAGGGTTTATTGCTGAAAATATATACATTGGCAGAGCTTGAAGCTCTGATTTGATCAACACTGCCTTGCCACCTGGCGACAGCAGCCTAGATTGCCACCCCTTGCATCTTGCAGATATCCTGTCAATTAAAGAAGAAAACAAGTGCACTCTTTTCCTACCAAGATATATAGGGCACCCCAGGTATGTGAATGGAAACTCCCTGTGTTGGCATTTTGTTGTTTTTTTCACTCTCTGGATCACTTCCCCCCTCACTTTTGGATGCATATAAAAGCCACTCTTATTTTTGTTCACAAATTGACCTGATTGTTTTTCATAGCACTCCAAGGTTTTCATCACCTCACTCAATGCCCCCCCTTTCCCAGAAGTAAATATGATCATATCATCTGCAAATGAGAGATGATTGATCCCTGGACCCCCCTCAGCTTGTGAAAAAGTAACCCCATTTTTTCCCAAAAGACAAGACAAAAGTTCTGCTGCTATTATAAAGAGACTTGGGGACAGTGGGTCCCCTTGTCTTAGACCTCTTGTTGAGTGGAAAACACCATGTTGACTACCATTTACCACAACTGAGTACCAAATGTTGTTGATGGTTCTTTCCACTAACTCAATCCATTTTGTACAAAAACCAAACTTTTCTAGGACAGCTAAGACACATTTCCAGGACATCCTGTCATATGCCTTAGCCATGTCCAGTTTTAGAACCACATCTTCATTTGCCTCCTTCATTCCATGGCACAATTCTTGTGCCAAAAGTATGTTGTCAATTATATTTCTTTCCTTCACAAATCCAGCCTGGGATGGACCAATTAGTCTAGACAATATCTCTGCCAACCTTGTGACCATTATTTTTGAAATTATTTTGTTGCAGAAATTGCTAAGACTTATTGGTCTAAAATCTGCAAATGTGGCTGGATTTGGGGTTTTAGGGATTAGGACTATTGTTGTGTGTGTTATGAATTTGGTCAGGGCTTTACCCTCAAAGAATTCTTTGATTACCTCATATAGATCCCCCTTAATGACTTCCCAACAGCTTTGATAGAATCCTCCACCAAATCCATCAGGACCAGGTGAGCTGTTGGGGTTCATATTGAAGATGCAGCTCCTTATTTCCTCCATTGAAGGTATTTGCACCAGCTTTCCATTCTCTTCCTCAGTCACTCTTTCCTGCAAACATTCAAAATTGGTTAGATCAAGCTGAGTCTCCTCAGCTTCAAATAATTTCTGGTAGAACCCCACTGCCAGATTGGCTATCTGCTCTTGTTCCTCCACCCACTTTCCCTTTTCATTTTTTATCTTATGTATTGTCTGTTTTCTCCTTCTTTCCCTCACCATCCCATGAAAGTATCTTGTATTTTTTTCTCCCTCAACCACCCACTGCATATGTGCCTTTTGTTGCCAATATTTCTCTTCCACCGTCAAAGCCTTTTTCATCTCAGCTTGTGTTTTTTTATAGAGAATCAGGTTATTCTCAGAGGGGTCATTCTGCAACCCTTTCTCCACAGTCTCCATCTTCTCCTCCTGCTCCTTCACCTTCTCAAATATATTGCCAAAAGTTTCCCAGTTCCATTTTTTCAATTCCATTCTCAAATTTTTTAACTTTGTTTTAAGTCTGAACATAGCATTTCCTTGAATTTCTTGACTCCACACTCCTTTTACCACTGCCATGAACTGCTCATGATCACTCCAAACATTCAAAAATATAAATGGCTTCCTTCCCATCTTTATTTGTGCTTCCATATTGACCACCATTGGAGAGTGGTCTGAATAAGCCTTTGATAGATACTGAGTATATGTTTTTCTCCCATCCTCCCACTTATTGTTCACCAAGCACCTATCTAACTGTTTCCAGACTGCTTGATCACCTTCTCTCCCATTCCACCATGTGTAAGTCCCACCATAATAGGCAACCTCACTCAACATTGCTCTGTCAATACATTCCTGAAACTCTTTACTCTTGGCTATTCTATAGGGGGTACCCCCCTTCTTTTCCTCAACCCTCAGAATGCAATTAAAATCCCCCATCACTGCCCAACTATTCTGCCCTATCTCCCCCTTAGCTAGGTTTTCCAGACAGTCCCATAGTTCCCTCCTCTCTCTCACATTACAGCTTGCATAAACAAAAGACACATATGCTTCTTTTTCCCATTCCGCACTCTCAATTTTTATTGTCACCACTTGCTGCCTCACCTCCACAATGCTCACAGTGACATCATTATTCTAGAATATCCAAATTTTCCCATTCCCTAAGCTTTTTGTTACATCCCACCCCATAGACAAGCTTTGCTCTTTCCTATGGTTTTCCTCTCTCATTGGTTCCAGTAGACACAGTACACTTGGTCTTTGAGACCTCACCAAATCCTGATTCTATAAGGGGTGCCTTGTGACTTTACACCCCTTACATTCCAACATATGACTCTCATTCTATTTCTTGAGATGGCCCCTCCCCTTTCCTCTCTTTTTCCTTCCCCCTTTCTTCTTCCCTTTCCTCCCCTGTTGGTATATTTGATTGAGATATTATATTGAGATATTAGGTTGTAGAGGGCAAACATGGTGAAATTTTTTTGGAAAATTTGGAAATTACAAAAATGTCTTCATAAAACCTTATTTATATTTACAACTTGAGGAATATATTTTTAAAAATGGAAAGTAACGAACAGAGTTTATAACTCCAAAATAATTGAGGAATCATAAGTGAGGTTTTACCATGATAATATAAACATTATCGTAGCATTAATTAATGATAAATTAATATTCTCAATACAAAATTATCATACAAACATGCATGCATCAATGTCTTGATACTGAACAAATTGCCACTGATGATGATTTATTCCATCTTTGACCTTGTGATTTTGTGCAAAATGAAATGGGTCTCAGTTCACAAAAGCTTTCATTAACTTGGGCTGAATGTAAACCTACACATCATATCACGGCAAATTATACCGTCAACCAGGGTGCACAATGCATTGTGCGCTCTGGCCCAAAACGACGTCGTTTTGTACCTTTTCGCGTGTTTGCTGTTAACTCTTAAAAAAAAAAGTCATGTTTCGAATGTACATAATTGTATAATAGAATACACAGAATTTTATACTTGAAAACACAGAATTTTATAACTGAATACACATAATCTAACATAATACATAATATACATAAGCTATTAACATAATATACATAAACTCTTAACGTAATACACATAAACTCTTAACTCTTAAAAAAAATCCATGTTTCGAATGTACAGAATTATATAATAGAATGTATAGAATTTTATATATGAAAACACAGAATTTTATATCTGGAAACACATAATTTTATAATTGAAAATTCCCATGTTTCGAATGTACAAAATTATATAATAGAATGCACAGAATTTTATACCTGAAATTAACAAAACGACGTCTTTTTGTTAAGCGCGGGACGCACATGTTATGTGCGCCCTGGTGCATGGTATAACAATTGTCATATCACCAATTGTTATACCATGGACCAGGGTTCATATTGCAACCTTGATACAAAAATTTTGTATCTTCAGTTAATACATTCTATACTTACAGTTAATAGTTTTTGTACATGTAAACAAATAACTTAATAATTACTGACACATAATAAGATATCTACAGGTACAGATCGAAACTATCAACTGAAAGTACAAAATGTGTCAACTATAGATACAGAATCTCACTTGATATTGCTGACACATAATATTGATAGCTATAAGTACAGAAACTATCAACTGCAGGTACAAAATGTGTCAACTATAAATACAGAATCTTAATGTTATTTTTGGACCAGAATCTACAATGCAAGATGGAACCTGATACATGGTATAATTTGCCTCATATCACAAAAACAATTTACAAAGTTGAAATATTAATAATAGCACTGTACATGCATGCCATATAGCACAACTATAAACTATTTCACAAAAGCAAACATAATACACCACTACTAGCAGGAGAGGAGAGACAAACATTACTGAAACAGGAAAGCACTACTGCATATATATATATTCTGAAGCTCACAAGTGATGATGCTATAAAGTTCCCTTATCCGAAAAATGGTCCTAAAAGAATTTCAGAGGGCTAACTTAATTCCTTTGGCAGCTTGTACATGCTGCCCTCTGAAATTCTTTTATGACCATTTTCAGATAAGGGACATTAATTAGCACCATCACTTGTAAACTTCAGAAAGCGAACTTAATTCAATTCGGAAAACCACTCATTTCAGCAGAACTCGGAACTAGCATAGATTGGTATTTCTTCAAACAGTGCTGCTGGTGCTGGGAGAAGCAGAGATTTGGGTGTCTATCACTCCACCCCTTGAAGTGCTCCCTGATTTTGAATGCCAAGTTGTGTCTTCAACTGTGGAAATCTCACCATATGGTTCAGGCCGATATCTGCCAGAAGTAAGCTGCTTTAGTCTTTCCTTTAGATCCTTCAATTCAAGTTCTTCCTTTAGAACCTTCACAACTTGAGTCATGGTCGGTCTTTGATCTGGATACTGGTCCAAGCACAACATTGCTAATTCTAACATTGTATCTACCTGTTCCCAATCGACGGTATTAGACATGTTTCTGTCAACTAGATTCATAAAATGCCCTTCTCTATGCTTTTCGCGTGCTGCCTGCGATCATACACAGAATGCAGCTAATAGAATTTGACAATGCTAATAAATAATGCTTTTATTATAGTGATCAATATAATCATGTAAATTAAGATTGGCTCACCACATCTGGAAGGTACTCGGTGTCAACCCCACTGCTAGACATTGAAGTCTTTTCTTTCATTCCACTGACAACTATGAGCACAAGAACTCCGAAGCTATACACGTCTGCCTTTGTTGTTAAGAGGTCATATTTCGCGTATTCAGGCGCCATGTATACCCTGCAAAGTGCTTTCGGGTAAGAATGTTCCATGCGAATCTATTGGATTGTTAGCTTATTTACAATTTTAAGAAAACATCAAGAGATGGTTGTCCAGAAAAAAAGAGGGACCAATTAAGTATCATTACACTGTTCCTTCCAACCGCGACTTTCCTTGGTCATGGAGTGTGGAAAATCCAAAGTCAGATATCTTTGCATTGAGATGTTCGTCAAGAAAAATGCTGGTTGGTTTGATATTTCCATGGACAATTTTCTGCTTGCACTCGTGAAGAAAAGCTAGACCTTCTGCTATGCCAAGGCAAATGTTGCGCCTTGTTGGCCAATCTAATTTCAACCTGTTTGAACCTGTGAGGAAACTACCATCGTTTACTGCTGCTAGACATGCTAAAGTGAAGAAAAACTTCAGTATAAAGGCCCGCAGAGATAGAGGCACTACCAAAAAGTGCGTTTTGGAGAGAATTACGACCTATATCTTCATAAACAAGCAACAGTTGGTTCTTCTCTGCAATGCATCCTATTAACTTTACAAGGTTCGGATGTTCCATGAGAGAAATTGTAGAATCCTTCTCCCTAAATGCCCGAATTATATCTTTTGTTGCTGAAACCTTTTCAACTGCAACGACAGTTCCGTTGCCAAGTGTAGCCTGAATTGAAATTCAGTAGCTAACAATGACACTTCTATAACATCAAAATGGGAGGAGCTCATGGAAAAACTAACCTCATAGAAAGTTCCAAAGCCACCCTCACCAAGTTTGTCCTTGAAATTCTTTGCAGCAGCTTTTAGTTTTTGGAAGTTGTAAAGTCCCCCAGGATACAACTCAACCAGTCCTAAAAGAAAACTCGGTGGAATAAATCGGACAATCAACAAAGGGCAATGAATGCTGGAAATCTTATTGTGTAGCCCCCCTCCCCCACAACAACAACAACAACAGTATTATTAGCCAAGCCAACAGTTTTAAAGTAGAAGTTACCTTCATGCAATTTGTCTTCCATTTTCCATAAATAAACTATCAACACTATCAGCAGAAGTAAGGCAGATAATGAGATTGCAGCCATCTGTGGAGGAGGCATACCACTCTCTATAGCTGGATCAGGAATTGCCATCTAGAAATATTAGATAAGAAAAGTAGGACGCGAATTGGTGCACTAGGTAAAGAATAAAATAAATAAATACGACTTACAAGGATATACAGAAATTGCAGATATAAGGGGACCATAGTGATCTGTCGGGACTTCCGATGAACCCTTCCCTGACCAATATAAGTGAATCTCCAGTCGACTATTGTTAACTATAATATTTTCTATTTCCACAGTGTAAGCCTTATTTACACCCCCTGCTTTATTTTCTATGTTGAAACTTTTCAGTACATTCTTCCCCTGCAATTACAATCAGCTTTCAAGATTCGAGTTTGTCAACTTATAGTGCAATGATTCTATTGGTAGTTGTACCATACCTGGATATCCACATCAAAAACACGGCCAGATTTGTTGATATATGGGGCTTTGTAGTCATCGCTAACTAATTCAGCAAAGTGAAGTTTCACAGTGTATCTATCATTTCTTAAACAAAATCCATAATACTTCAAGGAGATTGGGGATACACGTGCTGTACTGTAAAGAGGTCCATCATCAACACCAGCAATGCATGTATTGTTGATTATGTATGTGTCAATCCAGGGTCTTGATAATAGGTAAGTTCCCATACTACTAAAACCCCAACTTGAACTGCTACTCAGAAAGAAAGTCGAACTTCCATTTGAACTCAGATCACCTTCATAATTAGTTCCATTGATTGGCATTGATTCACCACCACAATTTATATATAGATGGTCTACTGCAATGGAAACCAAAGTGTCATTATATCTAAAATAAATGTTTCTCTTTAGAGTTATAATAGCTTTATCATAATATACTTACACAAGTGTTCTTTCTTGCTGCAGCTATAGCCAACTTGTTCCCAATGTGTAGCCCTAAAATATCAAAATAAACACAACACGGGATCATCATGCACTTCAAACAAACTAGTCATCTGTTTACAGTATTTATTTAGGATGAGGTGAGTGGGTGGGAGGAATAAGTGTTCACCACATGAAAAGAAATTGCTTACATTTCATCGGACTTGAGGCATGAGAACAAGTTCCTGCAATAGAAAGATCCAAAGTATGGTCGATTTGCAAAGTAAGAAGAATCAAAACATTGCACATAAGGAAAATGCATTATAAATCAAAGGATAGTCAATTGGAAATCCTCACAGGTTTGATGAGTTTGAATTTGTAATTTCTGTGACATTGTTTGTGAACAGATTTTCAGATACGTCGCTGCATTAAATGGAAAGAAAACAATAAGAACAAACCACTATTAATTATCATAGGTGGAATGGAATGGAATGAGAACGAGAGTGACGACTTGGCTTAACACTTTTGGTTCAAATCCTACACGATGAGATCATTGTTGCCAAAATCATTAGACATCAGCTTCTTTAATGTTGATTTTTATTATAGTGAGGAAGTTGATCATTAAGTTTGGGTTCAGAGCAATTACATATGCCCAGTCGAATTCATTATCCATGTCGGAATTGTCCCATTCAGTTCATTTCCTCGGAGAAATCTGAAAAACAATACAAAGACAAAGATAACATTTAAAATATTTTTTGTGAAACCAATAAAGCATGCAGGCCAAAATTCTCTGCAGGGAAGAACATATGTAGTGTAAACTCCCTTACATGTATTTTGGTTGGCTGGAAACATCTTTTGGAATTTCACCAAACAAACGGTTGAAACTCAAGTCCCTGAATAAGAAATGGAAAATGAAAATCAAATATGTTTTTATTCACAAAACATGCAAAACTTTTCCAATGACACAGAATAATTTGCAAAAATATACTAACAGATAACTTACAGATAATTCAGAGTATTTAGCTTCCAAATTGTATCAGGAATAGGACCAGCAAGCAAACATTTCCTCAATGTCCTGAAAACCGAAGATAATTCATAAGATTATGGTAGTGCTTCAAGGAGAAACAAGTAAATTCAGTATGAGCTAGGAGTGTACTAGAAAGCTCACAGATATTTCAAGGAATTCATCTTTGAAAAATCAGGAAACTGAAACGGAAACTCTCCTTCAACTAAATCACTTACAAGCCTGAATATTGATACGACAGTGAGAATTTCACTAAAATTTGCATGTAAAGCCAGGTGAAAAGATTGGTCAAATTTTTTACAAGATCTTACAAATATTGAAGTTTTGTCAAATTTGAGATTCCAGCAGGCAGAGGGCTTTCAAAATTGTTCCCAATCAGAACCCTACTCGAGAATTGAAGATCATAAAATCGATCACAAGTTTCTCACAGATATATCAGCACAGGTCAGTCAATCATATGCCTTACAAGTATTGGAGGTTCAGTAGTTGGCCAATAGAATCTGGGATTCGTCCAGTCAAGTCGTTCCCTCGAACATCGCTGAAGAAATTTTGCAGATGACTCATTGATCAAGTACAAATACTCTTACACCAAAATATTGCAATGGTTGAAGTGTTTGTCAAAAATGAAAAAGGAACCAAAAACAGCCACTTACAATTTAATCAGCTTCTTCATATCCATGATTCTTAGCGGCAATGCATCAACAAATTTGTTATTTTGTAGATATCTGAAGTCATTTGTTAGTCATCAAGTAACGGCTTTTTGAGTAGTATTGATTTTATTACATGTAATATCTGTTCAATATACTTTCTTAATCAGTTAAAACAACAGAGATCAATCACAATACTTTCTCAATCAGTTGTAAAGAAGTGAGAGCACTGAGATTCAATCCTGTATCATTTCTTCAAGAAGAGTCACAAAGATACTAATTGAGCATAAGATTCTTTGGCAAAGTAAGGGCATCAATTGTTTCAAATGCATCATATCAAATCAAAAACATTGGCAACATCCTTTATATCTGTTACACATATAGAATTTTTCACGAGTATTCCACTATTACAATTATAACTCTTCAGTCATTAATATTACATCTTGATTTAAAAGTATTACATTGTACAATTAAAGTATAACATTTTTCCTAATAAATAAGTATTACACAAGTAAATGTTAAATCTCTAAATATTATTACATTTTAATTTAAAAGTATTTCATTTTTCTTAAAAACATTATGTTTTCTCTTATAAGTAACAAACTCAACTTTTAAAAGTATTACATTTTTCTTAAAAGCATTATGTTTTCTCTTATAAGTAACAAACAACGTATTCATAATTAGTATTACATCTGTCTCATTTTACCTATCATGTTTATTATTTATTGGTCAAACCAACTCTTTATTTATTTTTTATTTTTTTGCATATTTTTTAATATTTTAAAATTATTTTTTATATTGATTTGTTGTGTTTGATAATACTTTTTAACCAAGTTTCTAAATTTATAAATTTTATATATACTAATACTAAACTTAATATTATGAAAAATTGAATTAAAAATAACTTCGATTAATCCCCATTAATCAAATCACACACATAAAATAAGACAGATAAAATATTATATTTTATAGTATAAGTATTACATTTTCATTTTAACATGACCATCTAAAAGCATTTACTTACAGATTCTCAAGACAAGTTAGATTTCCAAGATGGTCGGGTAGAGGACCCGTGAGTTCGTTGTCACTAAGGTCCCTGAATAACAAAATGGAAGTGCAAAAATTGATCAAGTACATATATGATATGTTCAAAATTCAGAATTGATAAATTTCAATGTTACATTCATGTGGCCTTACAAAGTCACCAGGCTCTTAAAGTTCCCCACTGCACTTGGAATTTTTGCTGACAATAAATTATTGCTCAAATCTCTGAAACAACAAACAAAACGTAGAAAATGAACAAGAAAGAAAGATAACAAAACGGATCTGGGACAAGTTAAACTTACAGTGAAGTTAGGTTTACGAGGGAACCCAATTGAACTGGAATTGAACCATTAAATAAATTATCAGATAGATCCCTGTAATTCAAACCACAAATACATTTCAGAAGGAGTTAATTTTTGAATTAATCATAGCATGTTATTGCATTAAGACGATGAAAAATGATAGTAAATATAATATCACTCGTAAATTAAAAATTAAAAATATCAATATAATAGACAAATTTTTGGAATTCCTGGTTTGTTGTCAACAATATTCACATGACATTTGGTTGGTTTGAAGAATTAAAAAAAAAAAAATATATATATATATATATATATATATATATATATATATATATATATATATATATATATATATATATATATATTCAAGTGTTTGATTGATTTAACAAATATTTTTAAAAAATATGTAATAAATTATACCCAATAATATAAATAAATATAAATTTGTAAAAAATAGCTATTTTTAAAAAAGACAAAAATAACTATTGGCAGGGGATCAAATTTGTAAAATATATTTCGTGAAATAAAAAGTGAACCACATAGTAAAATATACTTATTTTGTAGAAATATTATTATATGTTTATCCTATTCAGCAAACCAAACACAATATAACAAACAATGTTTTGTTTTCTTCCGATCCATCTTAGGGACTAGGGAGTGTGGGGTTAGCTTACAAGAATTCCAACTTCATATCACCAAGAAAGGGGGGTATTGGTCCTTCCAATGAGTTGTCTTTAAGATCCCTGTCAATTACCATGGAGTTTAGAATAATTTAAAAAAAAATGTTTATGTTCATATATTTATTAATATCTCATCATATAAAGAATTGGGTAAAAAGAAAAAAAAAAAAAAAGATAAATAAGTTTTATTTTTGTTCAGAGAGAACTTACAAATGCTTTAGATTCGTTAGATTTGCATATGACTCCGGAATCTTGCCAAGAAACTTGTTTCCATACAACACACTATAACAAGTACAACACACATGACTATTTTAACTATACTTTGTAATAAATATTAAGAACTAAACATACTAGGAGTAAATATACTAGTTCATGGTGCATACAGTTTACTTAGATTTTTAAGTTCTCCGATCGTTTCTGGCAATTCACCTTCAAAACTCCGGTATGAGAAACGACTACAACATATTTGAAGAAAATCACATCAATAATAATCCCATAATTATACAATTAGCTAATTGGACAAAATAACCTTGATATATAGCATACAAACTTAGCAAAGACCCTAACAAAGTATACATATAGTAAGAAAACAAATATTTTCTTAACAAAAACTATGTAATATATCGTTAATCTAAAAATATAATAAGTGTGAATAAATGTTATACCCTTCATTTATGTTTGTTTTTTTCTGTTAAGTTTTTTTTTTAATACATTATGCTATAAAAGTTGTACTTTACAATATTTTAGACAAACATACTCATACCATTATAATTTCCGTTATCTTTTTCACTATTGTTACCATGCACATGCATCCACCATATATTTTCTTATCTTCTTCAATAATAATAATATATACAAATTATATATTGGAGTATGTTAGTTGTTATTTTCTAAAATATAAATATCAAATTTATAAAAATATTTTACATTATTATTATTATTATTATTATTATTATTATTATTATTATTATTATTATTATTATTATTATTATTATTATTATTATTATTATTATTATTACGTACAATAATTTAAATATTTAAAATCTAAATAAATTTAAAATTTTAGTATAAAGTATTAATATTGGGCACTTATTTTTTGCGCATCGCGCATAAAACAATACTAGTATATGTATAAGTGCTATATAATTAACAATTTTCATATTCTTAAAAATTACCAATCATTTAGAATAGTAACAGAGGTGTCATCAGACTATATAGTAGTTGATATTTAATATATTTATTTTATTTGACACATATTTCATTTTCTCTATCTTTATTTCGCTAATCAAACGTCAAACAAAAGAGAAAATTATAAGAATTATTTGGAATATATCTATTAAAATAAAACGAATATACATTTCTGTCACCCGGCAAATTTTGTCTTCGAGATTGCAGTCGCAAATAATAGTATTTGTTGGATTAGGGACACACTTCTCGCTAGAAATCAATTTTGAACATCCAAGCAATTCATTGATGGCAGCCTCTGGCATTTGAATGCAATAATTAAGTTACAATCAATAGATAATAAAAATAAAAAATGAAAAATGAAAAATAATTTCTATGTAATAATGTTGTTATTCTCAGATCATATATATCGCTTAATATGTTTTCCTATAATTAAATTCTTTTAATGCTAATAAACTCTTTGCTTTACAGGAAATCTTCACAGTCACTGCTGAGTTTTCGATGAAGCCAGCCTTGTGACACTAGCCACTAAAAGGAGCATAAAGTGGTAAACTAGCTCAAGTTATTTCACGGGCTCAAATCAATAAGGACTACAAGAAGATAAACCAAGATAGGTTGTGGTTACCAAGTCTATCACCCGACCAACTCGCACGGGAGTGCACCCAATGAACTCTTTATTTACAACGTTGTTGTTACTTTACATTTTTTTTTTTTTTGAAAACTGTTGTTACTTTACATAAATAAATCAAAATTATTAATTATGTTTTTAAATGCTATATAATAAATAAATAATATTAATTTTGGAAACAAATATTTGAAATGTTAAATCCATTTACCACTAAAAGAAATATTTCTTTTCAAATTTGCTATTATTACTATAATAATAATAATAATAATAATAATAATAATAATAATAATAATAATAATAATAATAATTATTATTATTATTATTATTATTATTATTATTATTATTATTATTATTATTATTATTATTATTATTATTATTATTATTATTATTATTATTATTATTATTATAAAATAACAAAAACAACAGCTAGGCTAGGGAGGGGGTTTAGTGTTTGTGGTGGAGGATCGCTGGTTTGGCTGATACCAGATGAGAATTCAAGATTTCTGATTCAACGAAGAAAGATAGAATTACAAGAGTGTATATCTGAAACTACCTCTAACTGATCCTATCTAACAGGTTATTAACAATTGACTAATTCTAACCACATATAAACAACCATAGGTTAAAACATAAATAATAATAATACTAATATTACTCACAAGAAGTAGTTTTTTAGAAGTAATAAGATGTTTTCTTAAAAAGTATTATTTTCAAAGCTACTATTATTAATTCATTAATTTATTATTACTTAACATAAATAATAGCTTTGGTTTATTTAATTTGAGTAAAAACAAAACTTTGAAAAGAAAGAATTTTTATAATTAAAAAAATTAAATTTTGAAAATATATTTTATGAGATTTTTTCAAAGTAATGATAATATTAAATATGTTAACAAATAAATATTATATCTTTTTTTTTTTTTGAAAACAGAAATATTATTTCTTTTTTAAATAAGAACTTAAGAAGTAGCTGGGGTTTGAGCCTCTGTGGAGTGGTATTGACTCTTTGTATTTCAGTAGGTTGAGAAAGTAGCTATGTACAGATACTGCATTGTAACAGAGTCGGTAGTACTTAAAAAAAAAAAAAAAAAAAAAAAAAAAAAACTTAAGAAGTGAAAAAAAAAAAAAATTTATTGCATAAAGATAATTATTTTAGAATATGGAAAGATGAATAAAGTATATATGGATATCGGTGTATGTATAGTAATCTAAAGGAAAAGAATATTTATGGGGACTCACTATCTTCGGTGCCAAGAGGTTTATGTCCATCGCCGTATGTTGTAGTGCAGAATGTTGTACTTACACTTACTTCTCCTTCTCCCATGGTTAGTTGACAGTTGAGAGAGAAGAGCAACAACACAAACACCAAAAACTTCACCGTTTCCATCTCTCAATAATTGACTTAGCTTCATTCAATTCTAATTGCTTGCTTCGTATCTCTTAATTGACTCCACAACCTATCATCCCCTCCTATTTATTGTGTAAGCAAGTGGCAAAAAGATGCATATATGTCATGTCACAATTCTCCCATGAGATCGTCTCACACTCTCGTGGATCCTCATTCATGAGACGGGTCGAGTTTTTGATAAATATTATATTTTTTTACATAAGTATTAAATTTTCATATTTTAAGTAGCCCTTGAACTCCAATCCTTATACCATGAATCAGGGTTCACATTGCATTGTGGGCCATAGTGCATGCCTATATATGTGTCATATGTTATGAGTTTTTGTGTCTTGTGTTATGAAATTCTGTACTTTATGTACCTGAAACAAATTAGTAATTGTGTCTTATGTTATGAATTTTTGTGTCGTGTGTTGTGAAATTTTGTGCCTATGAACACAAATTATGTACCTAAATTAGATTTGAAAAATAAGTAAATATATAACATGCGTATGTGTCTTGTGTTATGAAATTTTGTAACTTACGAGTATGAATTCTGCACCTCGTCGTTTTGATCCAGAGTCCATAATGGTATGTGGAGTGTGGACCCTGGTCCATAATATATAATTATATATTGCCCTTTAACTCCTAATATTACTTTTTTTTTTTTTATCAAAAATATCTTATTTTTTCTCATAAGTTTTACACTTTATCTCATAAGTAACAATTAAATAATTTATCATGATTAGTATTACATTTTTTTCTCAAACAACTATGTAACCCTTAAATATTACATTTTTCTTTTGAGCTGAAGGACATGCAACAAATTTGTGAAGGAAAAATATTTGGTGTACTCCCATTTTATACTCCTAACTTGTACTTCTTCTCTCATGTTTTTGACGTAGACACTTTTCTGTGAACTCACATGATGAAAATAATTAATCCTGATTTGTCACTTCAAGGAGTAGAATTTAGGAGTCCATGGAGTATAATTTTGTGTGAAGTCACCCTCAAACAGTCAACACTAACACAAAAATAAAATAAAATGCAATTAACTTGCTTTTTAACTTTCCACACTGTATTATACACTTCATGCGTAGTGCTTAGCTTCTCAGTAGTTGCATCAATCATTTGTACTGTGAAGGCTACAATTCCCTTTTATTAGCATGTGAGTATTTGCTTTCTTTAATTTCATCTACTACAGCGACATGCTAGCTTATATAAAAATCAATGTCTCCACCACCGGAATTTGATTCTGTGATTACCTATTTAAAATGGTAATAGATGTGACATCACACTACATAGTAGTTGACAAGTAATATGTAATTTAATCATTTCAATAATATATTACTCATGCTCTTTTAAAATTTTGTTATTCTACAGTTTAATAAATATGACTAATATGTAATTTAATCATTTCAATTAAAAGAGTTTACAATAGAAGAGAGAGAAATTACGTGTTGGGACAAGAGATTTGAATGATAAAATTACATGTTAGTCATTTTTATTAAATTGTGAAAAGACAAAAGTTTAAACGAATGACTAATTTTGGCAAACAAATAAAAAATCAATAATGCAATGTGATAAAATTAAAAGAATATAACTAAATGTGGCAATGTCATAATAATCAGTGATTAAAAGTAAAATTTCTCAACTTCTAAATTCAATCAATAACTTTTCAAAAAAAAAATTCAATCAATAAAAAGTAATAAAGAAGGAATTCTTAGTGTTAAGAATAGTCCTTTTTTCCCTTTCCTTTTTGCTTAATCAATGATAAAATGTGTGACAATTCAAGAATATTGATTGTAGGAATCCTCAAACATTTAAAAAAAAAAACAAAAAAAAAAACAAAAAAAAAAAACAAAAAAGAGAGAGATATGAAGTCAAGAAATTTAGGAATAATTTTTAAACAAATTATCAAACTATACGCAAAAATGCAATTAGACCTTCCAACTCAAAAAAAAAAAGAAAGAAAAAAGAAAAAAAAAAGGAATAAGGGTCAAATAGGCCATCGAACTGCACACGATAATGCAATTAGGTCACTGAACCTAAAAAACAACAATTAGGTCCCTAAACTAATCAATTTCAAACAATTCTTCCAATTTGAAGGTTTTCAACAGGTCAACATGTCATCTCCCAAATTAATTATTTTTAAATTAAATTTAAAAAAAAAAAAAAAAAAAAAAAAAAAAAAAAAACATGGACTCCTGCCGGAGACGGTCGTCTCCGGCCGGAGTCGTTTTTTTTTTTTTTAGTTTAAATAATTAATTTTTAAAATTTTTTTTAAAAATAATTAATTTGGAAGGATGACCTGTTGAAAACCTTCAAATTGGAAGAATTGTTTGCAATTGGTTAGTTTAGGGACCCAATTGTTGGATTTTTAAGTTCTGTGGCCTAATTGAATTATCGTGTGCGATGGCCTATTTGACCCTTATTCCAAAAAAAAAAAAAAAAAAAAGTTACAACTAGGTCTTTAAACAATTAAACATTCTAAAAGTATGCAATCAAAATTAACTTGTTTCTAAAATTATAACTATTCGACATCATATCCAACGTGGTATGATGGATAGAAATGATGCAAACACATGAGACTTAAGAGGGAAAAGTTATATAGAAAGCAATTCATGCTAAGAAAAAATATATATATATAGAAGCGATTGAAAAAAAAAAAACCATTAACGCACCAGAGGTCCCTTGTTTTTTTGACAATTTTAAATTTAATTCCACATTTTTGTGTTTGTGATTTAATATCCCAAACTATTATTTTTGGACACTTTTAGTCATTCTCATGACTTTTTCTATTTTTAGTAGGGGCATTTTTGTCTCTTCATATTTTTCTTTTGTTATTTTTTCAGTTTCAACCGGTTTAATTGGTTTATGACTTTACTAAAAATTGGTTAAAAAATATGATTACTAAAAATCAGAGGTTACCTAAAGTTCTAAACCAATTAAACTGGTTGAAACTGGAAAAATAACAAAAAAAAATGAAAAGATAAAAATGTCCTTACTAAAAATAAGAAAAGTCATGAGAATGACTAACAATGTTCAAAAAATAATAGTCTAGGATGTTAAATGGCAAAAACAATAATGTGAAATTAAATTTGGAATTGCCATAAAAAAAATAAGGGTCTTCTGGTGGAATTAACTCTGAAAATAACTAAAGAGAAAAGGCAATAATAATAATAATAATAATAATAATAATAATAATAATAATAATAATAATAATAATAATAATAATAATAATAATAATAATAATAATAATAATAATAGTAATAATAACAATAACAACAACAACAACGTTGAGGCTCGGAAGGTGAGAGTCAAATTAAACATATATTCAATATAATTCATATATATAGTAATTGATGGATTAAATTAATTCGGGTAGTCCGAATTACTTAACCAGATAATTAAAGAGTAATTTTAAAAGATAAAATATATGAATACAAAGACAAGAATGTTGTCTTTAGGAATATAATATTGTAATGCTATTACAAATGGATTAAAGATATAATTAATTTCACTTTTGGTCCCACGACTTTTGAGTTCTTATCACTTTTGGTGCACAACTTTAAATTTTTTCAATTTTGGTGCCTAACTTTGTTATTTTTATCAGTTTAGGTCCTTCTAGCCAAATTGACGGTAAAATATTTCCAGATTTTATATTTTAGGGGCAAAATCGTCATCCCATGGAAAGATCTTCAATATTTAAACAAAAGAAAAATCATATTAAGAGGAAAAGAAGAGTTTGCCAATGGTCGAAACTATAAATCCCATAGATCTGTCTGGTTTCTGCCCATCTTCCCCATTATTCTCATCATCAAACACCTATAGATATGATTTTACGGTGATTTTGTTTAGATATTGAAGATGTTTCCTTGGGATGACGATTTTACCCCTAACAATATAAAATCCAACAACATTTCACAGTCAATTTGGCCGAAAGGACCAAAATTGATAAAAATAACAAAGTTAGGCACCAAAATTAAAAAATTTTAAAGTTGTGCACCAAAAGTGATAGAACATCAAAAGTCGTGGGACCAAAAGTGAAATTAATTCTTAAAGATATTTGCCTAAAGTGCCATCCCGCACCATTAACTATTCTTAATTATTCATGTCGCACCATGATCATTAATAAGTGATATTTCGAGCCATAAACTAATTTTTTTTCCGCCTAACATTTTTTGTAAGTTATCCGGTAGTGACTATGACGCGGAGCCGGTTTCAGCTACTGATGAGGCCTTATTATCTCGTCAGACCAGTTTTTATTTTTAGGCTAATAAATACGTATATTATTGCGTCAGTTTCCCCCAAATTAAGCTTATGAACAACCAAAACCCTAAATATTTGACTCAGACCACTTCTCCCCTCTTATTGCCTTTCATCTTCTTAGAAATTGTTGGAGATGTCATCTTCTCTGAATTCTTCACGAGTGAGGCGAATATGGAGTACGAGCTTAGTATATTTTGTAGTCGTGGTTTGAAAGCTCCGATTTGCACAACTACTCGGACAAAAAAAATTTCGGGTGTCAAAGATGAAAGGTAGGCATTGGTGAATTTATATTTTAAGGTAGTATATTTTAAGGTGTACACGGATTACAAAAGCTTGAAGTACATCTTCACCCAAAAGGACTTAAACACGCGACAACGACGGTGGTTGGAACTCATAAATGACTATGATTTAGATATACAATACCACGAGGGGAAGGCTAACGTAGTGGTAGATGTGTTCAGCAGGAAGATGAACCACTCCCTCAACACCACATGGGTATTGGCGGATGAGTTATATAGGGATTTTCAGAGGATGGGTTTGGAGGTGGTGGAGCAAAGATAAGTGGAGGCCGAGATTCAGCTAATTAGCATGACGGTTGTGTCCACACTGTTTGAGGAAATAAAAAATGGCCAGCAGCAAGACCCCGAATTAATGAAATTAGGGCTTGGATTGTCAGAGAGAAGAAAGGGGTCGTACAAGCTGTTTGATGATGGTAGCCTTCGCTATAAAGGAAGGTGGTGTGTGCCCACAGCATGCACACATCTGAAGAAACGAATCCTAGAAGAGGGGCACAGTTCACCATACTCAGTGCACCCTGGGGCCACAAACTGTACAAGGATGTGAAGAAACAGTTTTGGTGGCCTAACATGAAAGGAGAAGTGGCAAGCTTTGTGAGTAAGTGCCTGAACTGCCAGAGAGTTAAAGTTGAAAGGTGTAAACCCAAGGGACTCGTACAACCACTAGAAATACCCCAAGGGAAGTGGGACTCCATCTCTATGGACTTCGTGGGGGGTTTACCCGTGACCCGAACGGGAAAGGACAAGATATGGGTAATTGTAGGCTGACTAACCAAGACCGCACGATTCATCGTCATGAAGGAGACTTGGACGATGAACCAATTAGCCAAGGCTTATATAAGTCAGGTGGTCAAGAACCACGGGGTTCCACGAGATATTGTCTTGGACAGGGATTCTAGGTTCCTATCCTAGTTTTGGAAATCACTACAAGCAGCCATGGGGACAAGACTAAAGCTAAGCACCGCCTTTCACCCCACAACCGACGGCCAGACCGAGAGAACAATTCAGACCCTTGAAGACATGTTGAGGGCCTACATGTTGGAATTTCAAGGATCGTGGAAAGAACATTTAGATCTGATCGAATTCTCCTACAACAATAACTACCACGCAAGTATTCATATGGCACCCTACGAGGCCCTATATTGTCAAAAGTGTAGGACCCCTGATGAGGACGTTTTTCAAGCATCCATCAAGTATCAAATCATAGTATAGAGTTTAGATATCGTTCCACTGGAGATGGCTCTTGTAATGTTAGGAATTGATGCAAAGTGAAGCTAAACACAAGCTAGAACTATTCTTTTAGAAGCTAGACCGATTCGTAAGGAGTTGGTTATAACTTTGATATTTATATATAATACATTTTGTATTATAACTTTGATATTTAATTACAAGATAATAATGTAAAAAGAAGACAATGGACAATGTAGTGAATATAATAAATTAATAAATTTGAAGGTAATGAATCTTTGAATTGTAGAAAATAAAGATAAGGGAAAATCAACGATTTGGTCCCTCAATTGTTAGCAAAATATCAATGTAGTCCCTTAATCGCGTAATCATCGATTTAGTCCCTGAAAATAACTGTTTTTTGTTGATTTAGCCCCTCCGACCGTAATCCGTCAATAACCCGGCGAGAGCTCCGATTTGCCATGGGCAATTTAGTCATTTCAGGGGTAATTTAATCCTCCTTCTCTAACAACCCCTCCTCCTCTTCTCGCCGCAACTCCACCACAGAAACCATGGGTGCCATTCTTGGAAAGCTTCTTCCAATCAAATACCCATCCCAGGAAGCCCGGGACTCATCCAGGGAGTACCTCGGACCATCAAAGCTAATTCTCCCAACAAACCGAACCCGTAATCTGTCATCTCCGGTTGGATCTCTCTGTTCTGCTTTGACGTTGGCATCTCAGCAGGCAAAGCAACTGGAGTTTTGCCATTTTCTTGCTTCTTCAGCTTCTGCTTGTTCCTCCATTTATGCCATTCCCTACTGATAACCGCAGTAGACAAAATTCTCCATGCAAGTCCTCCCCTAGAGGGTTTTTTTGTCTGTGAATCAAGATCCATATGATCCTTCATATGCTTTAATATATCACCTCTCACGCCCTCTTCTCCCACAATCTCCGAACTAACCACACTTCTAGCAGCGTTTTCAACTAGGGGTTCTGAAAACTCAGTAATTTTGCTATCAATCTGATCTGGTTTTAGCAGGTGCCTTCTTGTATATGTTGCAACTGAAACCAGCGCTTTGTTTTTCATGCTTTGTGCCGATCTCTGCGCCACTAATTCCGGCATTCTGGTCGGAACCTACGCTTACGTGATTTTCTCGATCTCAGCTCGTATCCTCGTCTTGCATCGATCCGGCAGAGCAATTAATCTAAGGGGCTGCAACAGATCTAAAGTCAACGTGCGGCGGAGCTTGGGGAGAAGGACCCTGGCGTTACAGGACTTGCGTTGGGGCTCAAATGCGGCGGTGGATAAGGTCAGAGACTTGTTCTTTGAAGCGGAGAATGACTTGGTGCGGCGGAGCTCGGGGAGGACCCTGACGTCACAGGACTTGCGCTGTGGCTCAAATGCGGCGGTGGATAAGCTCAGAGACTTGTTCTTTGAAGCGGAGAATGACTTGGTGCGGCGGAGCTCGGGGAGGAGGGTGGTGACGGCGGAGGTGGAGTTGCGGCGGGAAGAGGAGGAAGGGTTGTTAGAGGAGGAGGATTAAATTACCCCTGAAATGACTAAATTGGCCATGGCAAATCGGAGCTCTCGCCAGGTTATTGACGGATTACGGTCGGATGGGCTAAATCAACAAAAAATAGTTATTTCCAGGGACTAAATCGATGATTAAGCGATTAAGGGACTACATTGATATTTCGCTAACAATTGAGGGACCAAATCGTTGATTTTCCCTTATCTTTATTTTCTACAATTCAAAGATTCATTACCTTCAAATTTATTAATTTATTATATTCATTACATTGTCCATTGTCTTCTTTTTACATTATTATCTTGTAATTAAATATCAAAGTTATAATACAAAATGTATTATATATATATATATATATATATATATATATATATATATATATATATATATATATATTTATTTATTTATTTATTTACCAAGTATTTTATACAAATATAATAAATATTAATATTTTGTTCAATACTTTCACATGATAATCTACGACACACATTTCACAATACAGGAAACATGTAGGGGAAAAACTACTACTACCAAATATCAATAGGTGCTTGTAAGATAAAGAGTTAATAGCACAACTAAGATCCCATCATATACACAACAATGCAAATCTAAAGCTTCATACACCATAATTTCATTGCACGATAAATCCATCTATTCTACCACCAGTAACCCAATTGCACATGACACACTACCAATATTAAAAGAAAAAAAAAAGAGGACACGTACTAAAGATGAAGACAATGACGATGCTACCCGAAAGAGAATTGAGAAGAATTAGGGAAATTTAAACCAAAAATAGTATTTAGGGAAAATGACACTTTTTCCCCCTAAATTATATACTTATAGCACTTTTTCCCCCTGAATTATTTAAGTGGCTCTTTTACCCCTAAAATGTTAAATGGACATATTTACCCTTAAAATAAATATTTAAAATTAATATTTCATTTATTTTTATTCTCCAACAAATTATTACTATAATTTGGTTCAAACCAAACAGATACTATAGCAACCAAACCAAAATATTCCAATTACAATTTATAATCAAAACGCGATATTTAGAGTTTATTAAAATCGCGAACCGGAATGACTGATTCATGTTCCGAACTGAAAAAATAAAATACATTTATTGTTGAATTTAACTATTTTAAAATAAAAAATAAAATTTTAAAATAAAGACGGTTCAAAATCGCGAACTGGATCCGAAACCGCCGGTTCACGGTTCATGATCCAGTTTTTTTTTTTTTTTTTTTTTTTAATTCTTAAATTTAATAAATTAAAATCCAAATATTGGGTTCTAGATCTGAATCATAACTGAAAAATTTTAATTCGATTGTTATAGTGTCTTGTTCAGTTCGAACCGAACCGTGGTAATCGCTACATATACGCAATAATTTGTTGGAGAAGTGAAATAAATAAAATGTTTGCTTTAAGGGTAGAAATGTCAATTTAATATATTTGGGGGAAAAACCACCACTTTTAAAATAATTGAGGGGACTAATGTGCTTACATAAATAATTGAGGGGGAAGAAGTGCTATAAGTATATAATTTAGGAGGAAAAAGTGCCATTTTCCCTAGTATTTATTTAGACTATTGTTTTTAGACTAAATATTTAGACTAGCATTATTACAAAGTTGCAAACATTTATTTTAGTGATAATATAATCAATTTCTCATATATTATATTGCATTTATATACTTTAAATTATCGATTTAAATAAACAAATTTAATATTTATTTACCTATGTATGAAAATCTCCAATATAATATTGCATTGATATACTTTGAAATACTTATTTAAAAATAATCATTGGGCATTATTCGTAAAAGAACTAGTATATATATATATATATTCAATACTGGCATTCGTTCTACCAATAGCCCAAAAGAATTACTTTAATGTTTTGACCCAATCCATTAGTCCAATACAAAACGCAAAATATTATAGCCCTAATCCCTAATACCTTATTTTCTACTCGGACGACGGTTCTCCCCTTCTCCGTCGTCTCTCACCGCCTCTGGGCCCTCACGTCCTTCGCCCTCGGCGACACTCCGGTCAGGCCGTCGCCTCCGCCCTCGCTCCTCAGTCCTCACATCCTCAGACGGTCAGACCTCACTTCATCGACTCAGCAATCTCAGCGGCTCCGCGGACTTCACCTCAGCCTCGCCCTTCAGCCAGTCAGCCCTCTGCGGCTCTACTTTACTGAGTGACTGCAACACCAAGGCTCAAAGTAAATATTTATTTTTTTACATATTAAAATTAAAAGGGATTCAGATATTATTATTTTGAACTTTCTCCATGTTGATCTTATTGTTATTGTTTCAGTTTAGCTTGGGTTTGTTACTTTTTCTTTTATGGTAGATAGAGATTAGAAGTTTACTCCTTGCCATAAGAAGGTTTTTATAAACTATGGCTGTTTAGATTTCCAGTAAAATTCAGGCCAATGTTAACAAAGCCATACTAATTTGTTTTTTTTTTTTTTTTTTTTTTGCTGCACAGTTATGGCTAAAGCATCACACCTAATTTAATCATTTGAACACTAGCAACAGTTGCTTCAAAACTTGTCAAAAAAAAGTCTCCTTTGGTTCTGAATTAGTATGGATTTATGGACATTTTTCAAATGATAAGATAGCAAATCAATTTCCATAGTTTTAAGCTTCCATATATTAATGCACAGAAAGATAACTATACATGTGTGTGGGGAGAAAGAGGATTTGTTAGCTTGGGTTCTTGTACAGGGGAAGGACATGCACATCAAGTACCTACTTCAAGCAACTTCTTTAGTATGAGCTTAGTAGAAATAAGTTGATTACTGGAATAATTGACTCATCAAATGTATTTTGGAACTTGGTTTCCCATCTATATTATCATTAGATTTTGCTCTTTGTTTGTTTGCTGATATTCTTCCAGATGCATAATATGATCATTTGCAACTGTTGTACTTAGGGAAAAAAAGACTGTATTCACGGATTTGGCCAATTTTGAGATATGGACATTGATTCTAAAGCACCCGAGGAAGAACAGGTTACCATGAAAGCTGAAAGCAAGGTACAAATCTTCTGTTTAAGTATTTGTTTTCTCTCCAAAATTTCCAATTTCCACTAGTTGCCAAAATTTTTAGTCTGCTTTTCTTTATTATAGGATAAAGAGAAGGTTGACATAGCCAATTCAATGGAAAAGCTTAAAATTGATGGGTCATCATCTACTTTCAAGAAAAAGCCTGTTATCATCATTGTGGTTGGAATGGCAGGTAAGATTAACTTCGAGAGGCCTTCATCTAATTTGAAAAATATATCTTTGATCTTTGTTATACAAGAACTTGTAATGTCTGTAATTCTCTTGAACATTGGCAAAAATGTATCCTTCTTTTTTTTTTTTTTTTTTTTTTTTTTTTTTTTTTTTTTAAACTTTATTATACGAAGACTAGTAATATCCGTAATACTTGAAGACTCTGAATCAGAAACTATTGTTAACTAGGTAGTGGGAAAACTACACTTCTTCATCGGCTGGTATGTCACACGATGGCTTCTAATATTCGAGGTTATGTTATGAACCTCGATCCTGCTGTGTTGACCCTTCCATTTGGAGCAAATATTGACATAAGAGACACTGTTCGCTACAAGGAAGTCATGAAGCAATTCAATCTAGGGCCTAATGGAGGAATCCTTACTTCACTAAACTTGTTTGCAACAAAGTTTGATGAGGTGAAGCTTTTAGTTTTGCTCTTGAATTTTATCGTTAAACACCTTTGAACAATTTTTTCCCTCTTTGCTTGCTGTGGTGTTTGGGCCCCTTCTCTCTTCTGAGTACTTCTATGCCTTTTTGTAAATGTTTCTTGTACAAGTATGATTTATCTGTATATATTATACTTGTCCTCTAGCTAGGATAGATGAATTGAATGACTCAATGACCAAGTATGCAACAAAAATTATATCCTTCTAGTCTAGAATATCTGAGTCTTCAGTCTTGACTAGGATCTATACTCCATTCTCTAGCACAGCTTAACCACAAATGCTATAACTTTTCAAACTCAATAGGGTGTAGAGGAATTGTTCCAGAAATCTTTGTACGCACTGCTCTTTTGGAATGTATGAATTACAGTATCTTTTTCCAGCTTCAATAAGTGAAAAGAAAACTATTGTCCTCAATTTGCATACAATCTTCCCTCTTAGCCTCTGTAGATTGGTATGGTTGAAATAGTGCTATATGAAACCATTTAACAAATGGGACTATGGGAGTACCTTTCTTGATATTTCTGTGCATTACATGAAGTTCACCGCAAAAATTTATTTGTTCCCTACTTCCGGTAGTAATCCAAATGACACATTAAATTGGCGGAAAGAAAAAGGTTTCAGTGAGCCTGTAGAAGCTGTTCTTTCCACCGTTAAAATTCATAATAAGACAAGGAGATTATGCTTTCATATTAATTATCTCTTCCTTCCTCCCATTGTGAGGTAAGCCGTATTTTTGCAACAAATTGCAGGTCATTTCAGCTATAGAAAAACGAGCTGACCAGTTGGACTATGTTCTAGTTGACACTCCTGGTCAGATAGAGATATTCACTTGGTCTGCTTCTGGTGCAATTATCACAGAAGCTTTTGCATCTACCTTTCCTACTGTGGTAACATATGTAGTTGACACACCCCGATCTGCAAGTCCTGCTACTTTTATGAGCAACATGCTTTATGCATGCAGTATCCTCTACAAGACACGACTGCCTCTGGTATTGGCATTCAACAAGACAGACGTAGCACAGCATCAATTTGCTTTGGAGGTATGGTTTTAATGGATGATGATGGGATCGTATTATTGATTAGTGAACTCTGCTGTTTCCTGATTCACGTTGTGTTTTCACATTTTGCGAGTCCAGTGGATGGAGGATTTTGAAGCATTTCATGCAGCGCTTGACTCGGACAACTCTTACACTTCAACTCTGACACGAAGCCTATCCCTTTCGCTGGAGGAGTTCTATAAGAATCTGAGGTCTGTAGGAGTTTCTGCTGTTTCAGGCGCGGGGATGGATGCGTTCTTTAAGGCCATTGATGCAAGTGCAGAGGAGTACATGGAAACTTACAAGTATATTGCTTTGCTGTTCCTAAGAATTTAACTACTCTAATTAAATATAGTACACCATTGTTTTTATTTTTTGGTTCAACCACGAGGTATCATATTGGTTTTTCCAACTAAGGGTTAAAGTGCTGGTCATATTGGTTTTTCCAAACGAGAGGGGTTTTGAACTCCCAACTTCTCTTAAAGGATGAGAGTGCAGAGCCACTTTACGCCTACTAAGCGTATTATATAGTAATCCATTTGATTTTTGCATTGTTCAATTTTAGGGCTGAACTTGACAAGAGACTGGCGGAGAAGCAACGGTTGGAGGAAGAACGCAGGATGGAGAACATGGAGAAGCTCAGGAAAGACATGGAGAAGTCTCGGGGAGAAACTGTGGTATTGAGCACTAGCTTAAAGGATAACACCATGATGGAAGAAGATGAAGAGGACGAAGATCTGGAGGAAGATTTTGGGAGATTCGGCGAGGATGATGATGATGATGATGGTGGCATAAGTGATGAGGATGAAGAAATTGGAAGTTTTTCTTTCTGATATGGCAAAAGAAAAGTTTGTATATTACTGATGGATGAAAGTGAACTGGACCAACTTACAAGAGACGTAAATGTCAGTTTTGCCCTTATGCAGTGATAATTGGTCCTCACAGATTAGGAAGACTGGATGTGAAATGACTATCAAGTATGAACTCATTTTAACGTGAAATGTACTAAATGTTCACATAGTACAAAGCAAATATTGATATGGTATAAAGTAAGTCCACGTCTATGGTCAAATTCCTTAGGTTAGAAATACTTTGTAATATATTTTGATAATATTAAATATACTAGTAACGTAGGACTTCAACTTTTGAGTGTACTTCTGCATATCATTGAATGTATTTTGTAATTGTGCATGATGCACTTCGAAATTTATAATATTTACGAAAATGGCAACGTGATTTTTCTATATTTCGTTGATTGTGAGAAGATCAACGGTTGAGATCAATTCACAATTTTTACATGGGTGGGTGGGTGTCTGTTCTCACAAGATTCCATATATATATATATATATATATGCTAATGTTCTAGTGAGAACATTTTCCTATGAAACTGTTAGACGCAACATAAATGCACACGATCTACTACAAGAATGCATACAATTTACTACAAGAGTGCACACACTAGATTGTGTGTACTCATATTAGGCAGATTGCACACTCTAATTTGTGTTAGGCGAAAAATTTAATTTCTCTTCATATGTATGTATTTATATTATTTATTTTTAAATGTTTCCCTTTCTAGAAAAAGAAAAGTAGGTTAGAATTAATTAATTATTAATTAGTGATGAGGTGAGGTAGTATATTTAATTTCTTGATTTCTTGTAATCTTACTTGTGAAATTTAAGTTGAATCGGCTTTGTGCGCTAATATAAGATCCAGGCCGGGCATGCAGTGTAGTTGGTAAAGCTAGCTGGTATATATTGTAATTATATTGATTCCATCTCCGGCCTCCTCCAAAGTATATACCAGCTAGCTTTGTCCAAAACCTCTTTGCTCTTTCTCCATTTTCTTTCTTCTCATTATTCCAAACCTTTATCTTTTGTCATCTAATCACTACCTTCTAGCTTTGTCTCGTTTAAAAGCCTTACCACTTGTACTAGCTTCCTTGTTTATTATAATAATAATAATAATAATAATAATAATAATAGTAATAATAATAATAATAATAATAATAATAATAATAATAATAATAATAATAATAATTTATTTTTAAGAATTCGCGAATATCGCTAACAAAGCAAATAGTTCACTTCCTGAAATATAAATATATAATACTATTCCTGAGAATATAATTGAATAGACCTATTTTTAGGGCCAATCACCTTATGGTCTAGTGCTCTCCCAAATGGGAGGTAATGGGTTTTAGTCCCAGTGAGGCGTTAATGACTCTTTGTGCTTCAGTAAATTGAGAAAGTAGTTATAAACATATACTATATTGTAACAGAGACAGTAGTATTCAATAAAAGACCTACCAAAAGTGGAAATCCCTTGTGCATGCACACCGGCATTTGGTCTTGTCTACTGAGCCATTGAGTCACCATGCTCTGTCGGGTAAGGATTGGAGATTTAACCTTTTGGGAGAAGAAAAATGTTGTAATTCCATCATTATTTCCTTAAGAAACATTAGAAACGTTACACCATTTCGTGAATGGAGCAAAATAATGGTCTTATTGGGGAAATTAAAGATTAATATATAAATACTATAATCGTAATTATACTAGTACATATTATGTTTGGTAAATGGCTGTTAGTTGGTTGAGTTAATTAGATGGTATAATTAGTTGATAACATTAGCTGATGGTAGAATGGTGTTTGGCAAATTAACTGCTAGCTGATAGCTGTTTTTTGAATTTTAGCATTTTGAAGTTATAAAAAACTAATTAATCAAAAACTTATATTAATTTTTTAACAAAGTCAAACAGCTAATAATGGTCAAATAAACTAAAATTAGCCTATAGACTAACTATTTTACCAAACAGGCCAATGTTTGTCATCATCTTTCCAACCAGCTTTAATTAATTTCTTAATAATGTTCTTTAATTCTTTGACTATGTCATAGGAATATTTCTCTTCCGATCCCCTACGGCATAGTATCGTCAGTTGTTTGTCTTTGTCGTCATTATACTCGCATCACCCTATACTTCTTATGTTACATTTATATATTGCTTTCACATGCACTTGGGTTCAACCATTATTATTCTTCCCCATTAATATAGTTTGTTACATTGTTGCAGTGAGAATATAATACTGCACTTTTGTAGTGGCAATGGTACTCGATCAACATTTTACTCTTTATTTATTTATTTATTGTAAATAATGGGTTTCATTATTTTTGTTTAATTTCTTAATTAATTCGCAGGAAAAATATGAGCTTATTGACGGGAAAGTGGACTGGAGGGGAAGAACAGCTCGGAAGGATAAACATGGAGGAATCCGAGCTTCCATTTTCATATTAGGTATACCTACATTGGCTGTTGGTTTTGTTTTACCAGACCGGCGTTTCTGACGGATTTGTATAATTTACATGACTGGAAGTAATTAAGTGTTAGGCAGGTACAGGTCCAAATTCAGCACCATGTAGTTAAGAAGATTATTGGACGGAGGTCAGAGGTCCAATCCAGTTCTAGGTAGCTAGGGATTGTTGGCTGGACAGAGGCTAGAAAAGCCAAGTCCAGCACAACCAGGTGGCTAGGAATTGTTGGTTGGACGGAGGGGTGAAGGGTTAAGTTCAATACCCTATCGCTAGAAAATATGACGGTATAAAGAAATAGAGTTATGACTAGGCTAGTGGTAATTAATAAATTGATCATTAAGAGTTTGATCCTAAGTGAAAGCCGGTGAATAGTCAAGTCTAGTGACTAAGATTATTGAAGGGAAGGGCCAAGCTCTTGATTCTAACATTTTGTTTGCATGCATGATTAATAGTGGGTATTTTCGGATTTGAAACAGGAATATTTGGTTTTGAGAACATGGCAACTATAGTTCTGGGGGTGACATTGGTGACGTACTTAAATGGGGTGATGAACGTGAACCTAGCCGATGCAGCCAACCATGTGACGAACTTCGCCGGCGCAACTTACATTCTCACTATTGTAGCCGCCGTCCTAGCTGATACCTACATTGGCCGATTCAGGGCTGTTCTTATTTCTGCCTGGATTGAGTTCTTGGTAAGTCTACTTGAACACGGGTTAACGTGATTTCAGTGATTTGAGAGTCAAATTGTAATCTTATAGTTACCAAGTTAATAGTCTAATCAACTTAGTTGATGTTGTCCTTTTAATTCATTTTTCTTTTTATTTTGTAATAATATGACATGCTTGATTTATCCAAAACAAAAAACAATTTACATGTCCCTAAGTCTTAACATAGTGATCAATTAGTGATTTGTGTTCTGACTTGATTCATGACTAAAGGGGGCAGTGTAGGGTTTGAATCTCACTGAAAACATGAATAAGAAAATAATTTGATGAAAAGTATGGATTGGATCCTTTATTATTGATGGGCTGATTGTGCATCGTGAGGTCCTGTAGATTTAAGATTAGTCACGATATATGACAGGAATTTTACTTTTGAAGTTACACATAATATTTTCCATTTATATATGTTTTTGTGTATTAATTTTTGTTTGTTCAAGTAGGGGCTAGGGCTTCTAGCAATGCAAGCTCACTACGCTAAGCTAAAGCCTCCTCCATGCAACCCTCTTGACAAGGCTGAAAAGTGCGAGGAAGTTGCGGGGCGCAACGCGGCAATCCTGTTTGTGGCGCTGTACACGGTGGCGATGGGATCGGCGGGGGTGAAAGCGGCGGTGCCGTCGCACGGGGCGGACCAATTCGACGAGAAAGACCGGAAAGAGGGTTCGGAAATGTCGAGCTTCTTCAACTGGCTGTTGCTGGGCGTTTGCGTAGGAGGGGCGGTGAGCCTCACGCTCTTCGTCTGGCTTATCCAACACAAGGGTTGGGACTGGGGCTTTGCTGCTTCTACGGTGGCTATGTTCTTTGGTGGAATCTTCTTCACTCTTGGCTTGCCGTTTTATCGTGTGTATGTCATTCAAGGAAGTAGTGCCATTACTCAAATTATTCAGGTACCACATCATCATACATTCATTCCTTCGACTTAGGGATATTCATATTGGGGTGTTTGATAAATAGCTTTTTAGCTGATTGATCACTACTGGAAATTATGAAATTTTCGACCACTTGAAAGTGATCTTAAATCACGTTGAAAGTAAAAAGTGATCAGAAATAGCAACAAAGGTTTTTCCGGATACCAAAAGTGGTCGGAACAAGGCTTTTGACTTGATTTAAGATCACTTTCAGGTGGTCGGAAATTTCATAATTTCCAGCAGTGAGTTAGTGGTTTTGGCTAATTGATAGCATTAGCTGATTGTAGAAAGATGTTTGGTAAATTAGCTGATAGCTGATTACATGCAAAATGATTTCTCAAAAAACGGATCAAAAAAGATGCTTTGAGTAACTTTTAAAATTTTAGCGTTTTAGAACAATAAGCTGTTACGAAAAATTAATTAATCAAACATTTTTATTGACCGTAGTTAAACACCTAATAGTGATTCAAAATCGGCTGATAAGCCATTGTATTCGATTCTATATATATTGTTGTGCCATTTGGATTGGCAGGTCTTTGTGGCAGCCATCCACAACAGAAAGCTACAACTTCCGGAAGATTCCGGTGAGCTATATGAGATCAGTAAGGACAAAGAAGCTGTGACAATTTGTGCTGAATTTCTACCCCACACTGACAAATACAGGTTATTAATTACTTAAAGAGTACTATTACAACTAACTTACAAGAATTTCGACAGTACAACGATCGTGACATGAATATATTTTGGGTGAATGACTTCTGTACAATTAATTAAAGAACACCATGTTTTTCTTTTTGGTTTATTTTTGGTGGTCGAAGATCCATGAAGGATCACGTCCAGGTGACTAAAGGGATCTGGACGGAAATCTAAAGGGTCAAGTCTAACACTCTGTATCTCGAAAATGTGACGATATAAGGAAATACACTTAGCTTGAACCTTTGCTACCATTTATATCATTTGGTGTAGTGGTAAGCGCTTGTGTTAGGTGGAGACTCGTAACGGGCCATCCAAGTCCAACAATTATTGGCTAGGAGATTCTTCAATAGCCTTTGCATGGACCGTGGTCCACACAGCTGTGTGGACCATGGCAAAAAAGCCACGTTGTTTTGCTTAATTTTATTTTTTTGCGCGTCAAGCTGTAACATACATTTTTATAACTCAAATGTATTACATTTTTATAACTCATAATGTACATTATTTTAAAACATAATGTACATTGTGTTAACCTAGATATTTCATTATTCTAAACACGTAATTTACATTATTCTAACACATAACGTACATTATTTTAACACGTAATGTACATTATTCTAACAAATAATATACATTATCTTTACTCGTAATATTCACGACGATATTTTGGACCGTGGTCCACACACCACACAATAATTTGTCAAGATTCTTGGGTGGAGACCGATAAAGGGCCAAGTCCAATATGCTCCTCTCAGAAATGCAATGACCCTATAAGGAAATAAAGTTACCTCTAGTAGTTATGGTTTTTTTTAGGTAGGGGTAAACATTTGATCTATCAGTTTGATTGTAACAATTTTGGTTTCCCAGGTTCCTAGACAAAGCAGCAATCCAAACATCCTGGGATGAAGAACCAAATCCATGGAGAGTTTGCAGGGTGACACAAGTGGAGAATGCAAAGATCTTACTAAACCTCGTCCCAGTGTTCTTATGCACAGTGATAATGACACTTTGCCTTGCCCAACTCCAAACTTTCTCAATCCAACAAGGCTCCACAATGGACTTAAACATCACCAAATCCTTCCAAATCCTCCCTTCTTCACTACCCTTCCTCCCCATCCTCTTCCTCATCTTCTTAATCCCCCTCTATGACCGTCTCTTCGTCCCCTCCATGCGCCGCCTCACCGGAATCCCCACCGGAATAACCCCCCTCCACCGCGTCGCCGTTGGGCTGCTCCTCTCCTCCCTGTCCATGGCCGCAGCTGCGATACTGGAACTCAAACGGAAACAGGTGGCCAGAGAGAGAAACATGCTGGACGCCATCCCGATCCTTCAGCCATTGCCGATCAGCGTGTTCTGGCTCTCGATCCAGTACTTTATATTCGGGATAGCCGACATGTTCACCTACGTTGGACTCCTGGAATTCTTCTACTCGCAGGCACCCAAGGAGCTGAAATCTGTGTCGTCTTGCTTCCTGTGGAGCTCCATGTCGCTTGGGTACTTCACCAGCTCTGTGCTGGTGAAGGTGGTGAACGGCGCGACGAAGGGGATGACGGAGAGCGGCGGATGGCTTGGAGGGAACAACGTTAACAGGAACCATTTGGAGCTGTTTTATGCGTTGCTGTCTGGATTGAGCTTTGTGAATTTCTTCGTATATCTGTTTGTTTCTAAGAGGTACAAGTACAGGCAACAAATAGGTGACGACGATGATGATTCGATGATGTCTGACAATGAGGATGAGAGTAAATAGCCGGCCACCATGCCGGCCTCTTATATATCTCCGTTGGCTGATATTCTTGAATCTTGATTATTCTATATATATATCCTTCTTATTACTGTTCTTGGAAATTAATCAAAGGAAGAAAATTACACTTTTGATCATATGACTATTGTGGTATTGTTAATTTGAGTGGCTGACTTTAAGAACTATCAATTTAGTCTCATAATTATGTAATTTTTAACATATTTGGTTCTACCCGCCAAATATTGCCCGAAAAATGTAAATGCTTTTAAATTTTTTAATTAATGAGAGTAAAACAATCATTCGAAGTTAACAAAAAGGGGGAAAGTTATTTGTTGCCTGTTTTCTGCTTCCTCCTCGCCATTGCATCTCTGATTACGCGAAGAAGAAGGCAGTGAAGAAAGAAGAGAAGGAGGAAGAGAAGAAAGAAGAGAAGGAGGAAGAAAGACGCACGCACCATTCTCCAGGTTCTGGGTATGGCTAATTCCTATTGCTCTTGTTTTTCTAATGATGGTAGTGAGTACTAGGAATTTGGGAAAATGTTTTCAATTGTCTATTGTAGATTTGGTGAGCAACTGAAAATTCGAACTTCATGGACAAATGAAAATCCAGGTCGTAGATTTTGGTAATGCTTGGGTGGTATTGTAAATTATTATTTTTTTATTTTTTTTTATTTTTTATTTTTGTATATTTTTGTAAGGGTTGTTTGAACCTAATTTATAAAGCATTTTTTGAATTATTCCAGAGGAAGGTGGGATGTTGATTTATTGATTGGCATGATCCTCCCATGTGCTATTGTTCAAAGCGAATAATTTCGGAATTGCTAAAACACATCAACCGACAAGATGAAGAGATACGAAAATTAAATATGAAGCTTAAAAGTGATAAAGATGATGGCAAAGTGTTTAAGTGGATGAACAAGGTTATAATAGTGTTGATTGTAATATTTGTAGCATTTGTTGGTTGTAGGGTTTGGTAATGAACTTTCGTAATTATGGTTATGTGTAATGTATGAAGTTTGGTATCTTTTGGTAATGTATGAATTATTGTATGTTTTGGTAATGTATCTTTTGTTAATGTATGTTTTGGTATCTTTGCTATCTTTTCATTTATTGCATATTTCAGATACTATATTGGCATATTGAGTCATTTTCTACAATGACTATATAGCAAGAGAACAATGGACAATTTCATTAACCAAGGCTGCATTACAATTCCCAACACACATACATTCTCAGAAATCTGTGATTGTCACTTTCATCAGTTAAATCACTAAGCTTCACAACACATGTTATTTTTGGGTTTATTCGTGAAATTTCTGCACAATATCTCCAAAATCTTCTTGAAGCTGTCTTCCTCATGACCTTCTTTTAGCTTCTTTGCCTTCCAAATAGCCCTATAGGCTTGTTGATCACTAACATAAAATCCCTCCTTATTGCACACCTTATCCTTGAACTTTTCATCATCCAATTTGGGTGGTCTTTTAATTCAGTTGACCACATCTTAGCAACCACCACTACTACAACAAAAGATATCCACTACACCCATAAAATGCTTTCCGCTACACCTGTGCAGGTGTAGCGAAATCCAGTGTCGCTGAAAGCCCTGGATTTCCGCTACACCCCGAAAGCGTAAAATGTTTTTTTTTTTTTAAATTTTTTTAATATAGACTTTCCGCGGCACCCGCTAAGCTTAGGGTGCCGCGAAAGTCTTTTATTATTTTTTTAATAATTGATTTCCGCGGCACCCACGTCACCGTGGGTGTAACGGAAACCATTTTTTTTTATATGTTCATTTCCGCGACACCCTCTACAAAGAAGGTGTTGCGGAAATTTATATATTTTTTACATTTTATTCGAATTTTGATTATTACCTATTATTTGTTCAAAACATGTACATAATTTTATTTCCAAATCCATCCAAAAATATACCAAACTAATTACAAAAAATTAAACTATCTATTCACAACGGTTTTCAAACCAACTCTAATAAATATGAACATAAACATAACTATATATATACTTCACAATTAATAATCAACACAACAAAACACCACAATATACTTATACTAGCAACACATTTAAAATTGAAATCAAGATATACAATTCTTTAACAAAACATAAACATAAGTTAATAATAATAAAGATAATGTTTAAACGAAATAAAGTTACACGCACTCTTTACTAAAGTAATGTGCCCACAACTCTCGAACTTCATCTATTTCGTTAATGGAGTAGGGTGCATTTTCAAATACCTACAAAAATATTTTAATTAATCAAATTAGTTAACGTGCATGTTAATTGATAAATATTAATTTAAATATACATATTGTTATATTTAAATTACTTACCTCATCTAGACAATCAAGCTTGGAATGCTTAGTAACAATCTCGTACATGTATCGCAGTACGTAGTATCCACATTCAGAACCTCCCGGTTGTTGTGGACACTACAAAATAAATAAATAAATAAATAAATAAATAAATAAATAAATAAATATATATATATATATATATATATATATATATATATATATATATATATATATATATATATATATATATATATATATATATATATATATATATATATATATATATATATATATATATATATATATATATATATAATCATGTTAAGATCATATCAAAATAAATAAAAACAATAAATATCATATTAAAACTTTAACTTTAACTTCATACTGTGCATTCCTTCGAATGAATTGTTCTAGCTCCTCATGCATTTGTAGGAATAGATCGAAATGCCCTATATTAATAATAAAAATTTATATCAATTTATAAATAACATAATAACATTTAAAATACATATATTGATTTTTTTACTTACATATTCACATAAATTTTGACTTCAAGGTCGCGGTGCACACTTTTCAAAGGATCAAACACATACACCGTTTTTGAAGGTGTGCTAATCACGATGAGTATCCAATGATTACTACATGTATAAAACATATATATATATATATATATATATATATATATATATATATATATATATATATATATATATATATATATATATATATATATATATACCAGGACTATGTGGTCTAATGGTACCCGGGTTGGACTTCCATTTGGAAGATTATGAGTTCGAGCCTTAGTGGAGGCGTTATTGGTTCTTTGTGTTTCAGTAGGTTGAGAAAGTATATGAACAGATACTACAATGTAATAGAACCAGTAGCTTTCAAAATATATTTATATTTATTTATTTATTTATATTAAATTTCTAATATCAAACCCTTCAAATAATGTTATTAAGTTATATAAATTACTAAAGTAAAAGAATTAAATCCAATTGTAGGCTCACTAGTCACATTGTGCCCAACAGAAACACTAGGAAAAATGCTAGGATTAGAGTTCAAAATTGGAATGGGCCCAACCAACACTATCATTGTTAACAAACGCTCAGCAATATTAATTCATATACCACTAGCATTATGGGTAGACAAGAAAGGTCCAGTAACAGCAGCCGAATTAATCCCACCAGATGTAACAGGCCGAGAACCCAAAATGGAATTAATTGGAATAAATTAGCTAGTAATGTAAAAGACTTACTTTTGATGATATGGTGCCAATATGAATTGTTGATCCTTGTGTTCGTTGATGACCTGAATTAGATATGATGTAACAGCAGTAGAATTTAAATTAATCATATCTGCTGAAATTTGTGTTGGACACGCAAACCCAATTGATGTCACTCCATGCTGCTTACACAACTTATTCAAAAACCTGAAAAATAACAAATAAGAAATTTCAATAAACTTCAAAAAACAAATGTATATAAAACACATGAACAATTTAAAACTTACATCATAAATACTTGTGTAATTGAGACATCGAGCCAATTCATTGTCAACAAATCATGTATATCTTCTATCATCACATAAATACCATTCACGTGTGCATGATGGAAGATTGTCCAATCTATATCCAAATCAATGCACTCTTCCTCAACAGGGAGTGATGACAACACTCTAACAAGCCCCTTACAGTATGTCCCCAAAAGCAAACAGACATTTTCACCAACAATTTGGGGTCTTGTAGTAGTAGCAAATTGCTTAACACTTTGATCCTTCATTTGCTTATTGTCTTTGTGAGCTTATTTTGACATTTTCCTACCAATAGCAGACAATAATTGAAAGAAACTGATTGCCAATCATCACAACAGACAAAGCACAACATTTGAATAGAACAAAATTGTTTATAAAACAAATAGAAGTTTCACAACTAGAATGCATACCTCATCTAAAATAACTAAATGAGTAGGCCATTGTGCGTGAGTCTAAAGTATATCTCCCAAAGTCTTATACTGCGATGTTTGCACGGGGAGATTATATCCGCCTACACCATCACTCACTTCATCGACCATCACTTTGACATGGTTAGGTAAAAGTGTCTCATTTTGCACTATTGTTATCTCATTTGTACTTGGGTAAACCGTACCCTTTGCAACAAAAATTGGCTTACCATCAAGACCACATATTGCAAGGTTACACTTTTCCCGGCTCTATATATATATATATATATATATATATATATATGTTAGGTTTAAATTTACAAGAAAATAATATTTTGATTATAAAATAATTTTTAATATTACCTTAATTGTGGTTACTGGATATACATCATATGAATGACATTTGCTTCGGGTCGGAGGTTGATCAGAAGGCGCATACGCACTTTGAGGAGTGCCAACCGAAACTTCTTGTGGAAATTGGTGTGTGGCTGGCATGTTTTTCATCAATATATTGAGTTGTTGGGTGAGCATTTCAATCTTGGGTTGCACCTCCAACAATGTGTTTTTCCTGACCTTTTCCATCATCTGTTGGACATCATCAGTAGAGTATGAACTTTGAGGAGTGGCCCGTTTATCCTCTAGTTTACCAAGAGCTACAGACAATATGTCATGATGTTTGTTCAGTTGAAATGTCCCTTGACTAATTTCATCACATTTTTCTATATGTTCCAATCAATTAGATAAAGCCAAGTGTGAGTATTTTTATGAATATTATATATTCTTATAATTTTTTTTTTTTAAAAATAGTACTTACAATTTTACCAAACACCTCCTGTGTTTTCTCATTCGGAATGTAATAATTTCCATCTGCTGACTTCTTAACTCTTGCCCGTACCCAGTCAAAACTGCGATCATCGGACAATAATGACGAGCTAATAGAAGCACAAGAAGATTGTGAAGATAGAGGGTCTGATATCATCCACTCTGATTGTTTGTCCGCATATCCCGCAGAACCTAAGAAGTGTGGATGCACATTACATGCCTGCCTTTGCTTTGGCTTCATACTTTTCTCCTATAGTTTCAATCATATGTTAATATTAATAAAACAATTGTACTAAAACACTTGAACTACTTATAATAAAAGGAAATAAACATACCTTGGACGACTCACTCTCGCGTTCTGCAACAAATTTTGCCCATTGATCGTCAGTTATGAAATTATAGAGTTGTACAGGAGATTCATACTTTGGGTGCTTCTTGACAATATGTTTACGATTCAATCTACTCTTGAAGTCTCCCCATCTCGATGATGCAATTCTCAATACAATATCTCTCTTTGTATCATCTTGAATGCGAAATTGTGTCTGAATAACAACATGAACATAAGCAATGACAGTAATGACGATAATTATATTTATATGAATAATTGACAATTAATATTGATAGATATTCCAAAATAGTCGGCCGGACGGGAAGGCCTGGCAAGGCAGCCGGCCCAAGGCGTGGCTTGATACTTAGCAGGGGGAGGATCTCCAGGGCTTCTCCCACCCATCGTGTAAGGCGTTCTACGACGGAAAATGTTCATCCTCTGGCAACCAGTCTCGGCAGCCGGTGCGTCCCCGGGAAAGCTCCCAGGCGAGACCCGGTTGGGCGACCAGCCTTGGTGGTCGGTGTGTCTTCGGCTGAGTACCCTGTGGGATTCAGATATACGACCAACCTACCCGGGCGGTGTGTCCCCGACCGTGCGCTGCTCCGAAACCCGACCGGGCCACCAGGCTTCGCAGGCGGAGTGTCCTTGCTTAGATGCGGGAGCCCTTGAAGGCATCTCCACGGCGGCCTGGGCGTTCCCGGCCGGGTACGTATCCAGAGACGGATTGTAACACCCCGTGTTACGGCCTTCAAATCCGAATTAATTATGGAATTAATTTCATTAACAAATAGTTAAAAAGAATATAAGTTGGTTAGAATTCCCTTGGTTAATTAATGTGGTCCACAACGGACCATGGACCCTTATCTCTAATTAAGTCTTTAACTTTAATCCTGTTAGGAATAAAGAAAGTAGACATTTTACTATTCAGATTCTAATTCGGAATCCTAGGCCTATATATCTGTTAAGAATAAAGAAAGAGGGCCCATTATTAATCAGATTCTAATTAGGAATCCTAAACCTCTTACCCAGTTAGATTCGTATTAGGGATCCTAACCTATATAAAGGGGGGATTAGAAGGCATTAGAACCCTATCACCCATATCTCCCTCTCCCCCACACGAAATCCCCTCCAGGCCAAGGAATTCCCCACCACCAAGCTTAGGGAGGATCGATTGAGGAAAGGCCTTAGGAAGTTGTAAGGAGTTTTAATTAAAACTATCAGGAAACCCATGTCTCGACAAAACCTATTTTCCTTGCTATATCTTATTCATTGGCTCCTTTGGTAATCGTATGTGTAATTCTTGATAGAGCTTTGATTAGGGTTTATATTGTGTTTATTTGATAATCTTGATGTTCTTGATATTGCAATTGATTATATGAATGATCTTGTATTTTAATTATGTCTAGAGCCCTAGGGTTTAAAACATGAATTTCGTAATTAAGGTTTTCTTGGTATATTTGGGTGGGTTTATGCATGATCGGGTGTTTGAGTCTAACCTAGGACTTGTGTTTAGGACTTTGCATATAGATTTCTTGTTATTCTTGTGGTTCCGGATGCTCCTAAACCGTTATATGATTAATGATTGGCCTTGACATGTTTAGGAATCGTGTTAGAACGTATTTGGTAGAATTCTTGGGTTATCCCGTTAATTGAATACGTGGTGTTGTTGTTATGTGTTTGAATGTGTCTGGACATGGTTCTGGGTTCCAGAAGAGATCCCGGGACCGAAAAGTTGCCTGTGAGTCAATGGGGTGTAGGTGGGGGCAGGGGTGCCCGCTGCCCGAGCTTCTTTCCAGCGGGCAACCGGCGGGCAGGTGATTGCCCGTTGGAAAGTATGACCGCCGCCGGCGGGTGGTCCTCCACCCGCTGGAAACTTGATGTAGGGCGTGATGTTTTTCCCCGTGTCCCGTTGTGTCCCGTTGTACTCCGTTTGTCGTGTATGAGTCTCGTTTGGTGTTTTGGGTATCGTTCTATGAATTTATGTGTAATACATGTCGTTGTTGTTGTGTCTTGATTGTTATTTGATTATGTGTTGGTTGATTGAATGGTGATGAGTATCGTGGTCATTGGGCAATGGCCGGTGTGAATGATGATGATGAGATTGTGATTGGTGGAAATGAATTGTTGGCGGTTGGCACCACTTGTGCCCGGTCATTGTACTAAAGGTACAGGCCATAGCGGTTACTGTGCTAAAGGCACAAACCCACCTTAGACCTGCTTGCCGTTGAGCATGGGTCAGGTTATAAGTGCTGCGGTGTCATGTCAGAGCTATATGCGCTGACCCCTTGATATTGGCACTAGAGGTGTAACACCCCGTGTTGCGACCCCTAAACCAAATTAATTAATTAATTACTTACCCTAAAAAGGGAATTAAAATCCATTAATTAACTAAAAGGGGGTCCACCATAGTCCATGGGCCCTTATCCCTAAAACCAACCCCTTAGTCCTATAAGGAATAGAATTGGCAAACCCATACCATTTAGACCCTAATTAGGACTCCTAGATATATAAATAGGGACATAGGAGGCACCTAGAACTCACACCACAATAACTTTCACCACACAAGAATTCTAAAGAATTCCCATAGGAGAAATCAAGAAAGAAGAAATCTTAAAGAAAGATCCTTCATAGCCAAGGAATTTAATTAAGGCTAAAACGTAACCCATGTCTCAACAAAACCTATTTTCCTTGCTATAATCTCCTTCTTTGGCTCCCTATTCTATACTTGTGTCTTGGTGAAATCTTCTATGATAATTGTGATATGATCTTGATAATTGTTGTGATGATTTTATGTGTGATCTTGATGATCTTGATGATGATAAGAGGATCTTGATAATTATGTGGTGTTCTTGATAAATCTTGACATTCTTGATTTTTAAAGATAAAGCATGATTTTGTGATTTAAATATGATTAGAGCCCTAGGTTGAATCATGAATTTCGTATTGGGATTTTCTTGGTATATTTGGGTGGGAATTCAAATGTTTGGGTGTTGATTATGTTTAGGAGTCATGATAGGTCATGTTCTATGTGATTGTTGCTTTTGATTCGTTAATTGCCTATGTGGTGTCGTTATTTGTGTTTAAAAGTGTCTAAGCATGGTTTCGGGTTCCACAAAGGATCCCGGGACGTTTAATTTGATAAAGAGTCAGTGGGGGGGTAGGGGGACCCGCTGCCCAAAGAGACACCGCCAGGCAGCGCGCAGCCGGCG